AGGCTGGGATAGCAGACGTGGGATGTGGACAAAACAAGGCCTTTGAGCATGTTTCACATTGCCTAAAGCTCCACTTAAACCATAGTGGGAGAGGAAGCTGGAATACCTGCAGAAGCAGAGTGTGTGCCAGTGCCCTCCACATCTTTCTGTGTTGTCCTTCACTTGCCCTCTGGTAGTGTGCAAAGCAGCATGGCCTTGTTAAAGTTTTATCCTGCACCCCGCATCCCAAACTCTTGGACTACTTTAGTGTTGCCCCTCCATCTCACCTCAAACACTCTTGAGTGTGTGCTCTTAACGTCCTGCTTCTGTGTCACTGTGTTCTGTCCATGTGCTGCTGGGGCTTGGACAAGCTTAGCCCTTGGCCACAGCCTGAGGCCTCTGGATTGCTAGTTCTTGACTCTCAGCATAGCAAGGTGTGAGGAGCCCAGGCCAGAGCACTGCTGCCAAGCAGCTCATGCTCAGTCAACTTGGGTTGGTGGAGCCAAAGTGGAACAGATGCAAAGGGACTTAGGGAGAATGTTTTAATACGCTATTGAGGCTGCGTCCAGATGTCACCACAACCTGGAGGCTGCTCCTGCTGCCTGGTGACAGTGTCTGCCTGGTTAAAGCCCAGTTGTCTCTAACTTGCTTTGGCTGAGGTGCTGTGGGTGCTGTGTGCCACCTACAGCAGTTGTGGGAGTGACTTTAGGAACCAAGCAGATGTGCTGGGCTGGGCTGGAGTGTGCTCCATCCTGTGGGGAGACATTTCTCCCCTTGGTGTGAGTAAGATCACATGCCTGGCTTCAGCTGCCTGAATTGTCCCAAATTCTCTTAAACAGTGTTGCTGTAGTCACTCTAGAGGGGTTCTTCACAATCTCTAACTTTTGTAGGCAGCTGCTCTTTGATGTAGAGACAAAATCTGATCTTGCCATTAATTTACTTGTTATGGTTCTGCTGCTGCAGGTGACATCTCGGAGCAGAGACAACGACCCCAATGACTATGTGGAGCAGGATGGTAAGTGGTGAGTCACTGGGAATAAGAGCTGGAGGAGGAAATTAACTTTTCTTTCAGACTCTTGAACTCATTCTTCCCTTACTAGCTGTGTAACCATAAGGCAGCTGTAAATCTGGCAGTTCAGAGCCACCAGTGTCACTGCATCAGTGGGGTAGCATTTTGTCTTAATGCCACTTACAGGTTGTCCCCAGAACTAAAGTCCTGTGTCAGAGGTTGCTTTTGTCTCTCCTTGTAAGAGCTTAGAGACAGCAAAGATGCAAAATGATGTGCTGTCTGCTATTCCTTGGGGGCCTGTGCAACTCCTTCGTACTTTGCTGCTCTGGGGACACAGGCCAACCCTACTAAGAATCCAAGTGAGCCAATTTCTCCTCTGCAGCTTTCTCAAACTGGCATGTGCTTTTCCAGACATCCTCATTGTGAAGCTGCGGAAGGGCCAGGAGCTGAGGCTGAGAGCCTATGCCAAGAAGGGCTTTGGCAAGGAACATGCCAAGTGGAACCCCACGGCAGGCGTAGCCTTCGAGTATGACCCAGACAACGCACTGAGGCACACTGTGTACCCCAAACCAGAGGAGTGGTATGTCCTAGTGTCTGTCTGGAGGGACTGGAAAAGATTTTCCAGCAGGCAACAACTTATGTTTCTGTCCTGGGGATAAATTGGGTCAGTACCTGATGGTGAGTGTGCCTGTTGCTTCCCCTTGCACAGACTCTGCTCCTGTGTTAGAGTACCAAGGCCAGTCACTTGTTTGCAGCTGCATACAAGGTGAACTGGTTTGTGGACACCTCTTGTCCTCCCTCATGTCTGAGCACAGCTGATTTGCTTTGTTTTTGTGCTCTTTTTCATCACATTGTTGGTTTTTTCCTTCCTTGTGCAAGTGGTGTGTAGGTCAGGGTAAGGTCTGAGGAAGGAATAGATCCATGTGAGGTGCTGCTATGAGAGCAAAGAGTGGAAGGTTGGGTTGCAAGACTGGCTTTGCAGCCTCTTTTGTTTGAGGAAGCTCAGTATGGCTTTGATTGCACCCATACATCTCGTCAATGCTGGAGCCTGAGCTCTGGCAGCAGAGTTTTCAACTCTGGTCCTTTCCTCTCCTCTGACATACCATTCAGCACCAGTAGCATTCTGCTTCTCATCTTAAAGTGATGTGATTTTCCTTTTGGAAAGCTGCTGCCCTGCTTTGGCCTGGGTGAGAATTATCTAGCAGCACTTTGCCATGGGTGGATACCGGAGCTGCTCCTGGCTCTGCATCCCAGTGACCTCATCCTGTCATTGAGCACACACTGGAGCCAGCAGCAGAGCAAGGAATCAGGTGCTTTAGCCAAGGCAGGCTGAGAGCAGGGACTGGAGGTGGATATGCTGCCACAATGGCGAGACAGCAGCCCAAGGTCAGGAAGACCTGGGTACAGGAGCAGGATTCGGTGCAGGGATGGCAGAAGCTGGAGTTGAGCGAGCAGGAATAATGCCTGAGTGGAGCCGCAGCTGGAGGGGAGTCTGAGCAGCAGGAGAGGCTCAGAGGGTTTTCCTCCTGGCACTGCCAGACCCTTGCATGGCCTCATGCCGTCCCCTGCTAAATTAGGTGTCCATAAATGAGCTTTCCAGAGGTGCTGTTAGCCCTGGGTCCACACCTCAGCCGACTGCCAGCAGCTTTCTGCTCGGGAGCTGTCATGGAGATCCTGCACAGCTCAGTTTGCACTTGGGAGATTTGAGAAGCCTTTTGTCACCAACGGTGGAGGTGCAAGTGAATCCATAACACGCATGAAATGGGATAGAATCTGCCCACAGCCATCCCAGCCCTGTTTTATGGATGGAGGGAGAGAACTCTGCCTGGCTTTTATGAGCTCTGTAGGAGGTGTTCATGGACTCAGTTCAATCAGTCCGGGTGGAATGGGATGTACCAGGTGTTCAGCTCCTTCAGCACCTCGTCAGGGCACTGCTCAGGGATCTGCAATAGGAACCAGGCTGGCTGGTAGTTCTGGAAATCTGGAAATAGGCATTTTCCTTGGCGTTGATGATCTGTACACATGGACTGAAGCAGCACTTTGGGAACTGCCAGCTGCAGACCAGGCTGCAGCAGGGAAAGTCCACGAGAGGCTGGTTGTGCTGAGGTGGCACAGACCCTGGGAGGATGCTGCTCAACAGTTTTCTGGTCAGGAGTATGTCACAGGTGTTGATGTACTGACCTGCCCTTTGTTTTGGGGGTGGAACTGAATAGTTTTGAAGTTTCCAAATTATTTATGGCAGATATATTGCCCCAAGTTTTATTTTAGTTGATAGAGTGATAGATCAGATGCTTGAGAAGCAAGAACGTATAGATGATGTGGAATTTCACATTGGGGTTCGAATTCATTTGTTGCTTCATTTTGGTGCTGTAAAAATTCCCTGGCTTAATTTCTTCAGTGCTGGATTGTAAGTCTGTGATGCTGATGAAGTGACAGGTTTGGAATGCTGCTTTGAGTGGACAGTCAGAGGCCAGGCAGGCTGAGGTATCATTGGCTTTGCTGCCTTTTCATATGGGGAATGTCACAGTGTGACTTCTGGGAAGTGTGAGCTTCTGGAGATGTTGGTGTCAGGGAGAACAGGCCCAGCTGTGTGGCTGAGCTCATGTACCTCACCAGTGCAGAGGTTTCCTGGCTGGGTGGCCCAAGGCAGTTGCTAATGGGGATTCCTTTGTGCAGTGGTAGGCTGGGCTGTATCTTCAGGAACTTGATGTGGTATACAACAGGCTTAGTATCTGAAAACAATTTTTGAGAAGTTCTTGACAAAATATATGTAAAATTTGGAAAAATCCCAGAGGGAGATTGACATTGGAGCTGACAGTTCCTTGATGATACATCTGTCTTTCCAAATTCATCTGAATCCCCATGAAGATAATACAGAGCCAAAGCCACCTGCTATGATTTTTGTCTTAGTTTTTCATGCTAGTTGTCTTTTGAGGCTACTGGCAGAGCACTGGCATGCAGTTGCACTCTCCAAACAGCTGTTGTGGTGGTAGAAACATCTGCACTGTTTCAGTGATTCTGCATATATCATGAAGTCCCACCTCCCTCAACACCTTGCCTCTCTCAGTGGTTTGTACAGGCAGAGGTTTGTTTGAGAAGTGCAGTTTTATTTCAGGCAGCTGATGATATGGTGCTGGGATCAGCCTTTCTGGGCATTGCTGGGGCACAGGAAGGCTTGCAGAAGACTTCGGTGGGCACAGAATTTTCTGTGCTGGCTTCTCAGACAGCTAAAGGCTTTGGGTATTCTTACATGGATTAAGTGCTTCCACACACTCTCTCTGGTATGATGCTCTATAAGCTAAGCAATGCAGTGGGTAGAAAGATGTGTTGGCCTAGGTAGTGCATTGGTATTGCAGTTGTTTTGGTAGAGGAGTGGAGGTGCAGGATGTCAGGATGGAGCTCACTGATGCAGCTGATGTCTGAGGGACAGGGAATGTTTTCCTGCTGCATTCAACCCAACTGTGCCTTCCCTTCTCAGCTGTGCTACACAGGCTGAGCGCTGGAGTGCTCCAGGGTTTTCCTGGCCCAGTGGAAAGTACAAAGAAAAGATAACACAAGGTCCATTACTCCGTGAAAGCATCCAGGCTCTGTAAACCCAGGGCACTGACATATCTCCACTGTAAGCACCTGCCAGCCTGTGCTGGTGTAGGCAGATGGAGCCACAGTAGCCCCTGCTCAGGGCTTGCTGAGTTTGAGCAGAGCAGGGCTGATCCTCTTCCTCCAGCACTGCTGGGTGACTCTATGGCATTATTGAGGGCCAGAAAGGGCAAGGACTGACCTTTTTTCTGTGACTTGATGTTTGACCACCCCTTTGCATGCTGGGTGTGAGCCCCAATGTTTGCTCTCTGGGGCCAGACTGACTGCCTGGGCTCTGTGGGGCCAGGCTAGAGCACACAGTGTGTGCTAACTTCTCTTTCTTCTGCTGTCTGATTCCAGGCCCAAGAGTGAGTACTCGGAGATCGATGAGGAGGATGCTCAGGCTCCCTATGACCCCAATGGGAAGCCAGAGAGGTAGGAAGCTGAATGCACTGCCACAGCTGGAAGATGGGGTGACTAACTGGGTGCATCTCATCGGCTCTTATTAGTACAAGAGTGTCTACTCTGCACTGAAGTTGCCAGCCCAGAGAGCTGATGTTCCCTGAAAAGCAGGGCAGAAGTTGGAGTTAACTGGTGATATGCCCTGATCTGGCAGGTTTTCCCCTCTGGGACACACTAGACAGCTCTCCTGAGTTCATGTTACCAGGTAGGGCAGTGCACACTCGGTGAAGTGTGAGGCCTGCAGGGGAAAATGGCTTAGGGTATTTATTCACCCATGTGCATGTCTCATGCTCTGGTTGCTGGTGTTATTTGCACTGCAGAAGTGCCTCAGCCAGCCTTACTCCCTGGCTCCGTGCTGGCTTGCAGGTCATGGTGCCAAACAGAAAATCTCAGAAGTGCTCTTGCAGCCTATGAAATTGCAGCTGTTGGTGTGACAGTAGTAGAGGAGCAGCACTAACTGTTGGCCTGGTTAGGAGGTGGATGATGCTGGTGGTTGGGATTCCAGCAGAATGGTGGGTAGGGGTGAGCTGGAACTATGTGCACTCTGGGTTTGCACCTCCTTGCACAGCAGATGGTAACTTAACCCTCTGACTTGTAACCTCAGGTTTTATTACAATGTGGAGTCCTGTGGTTCTCTGCGCCCGGAGACCATCGTTCTCTCTGCACTCTCTGGCTTGAAGAAGAAACTGAGCGACCTCCAGACCCAGCTGAGCCATGAGATCCAGAGTGATGTCCTCACTATAAACTGAGGTGGCCCCTTGCAAGAGATTGCTGAGGTGTGAGTGGTGCAGTAGGTCATTGCCTCTGCCCAGCCGTGATCTGGGCTGAGGCTTTTACCTTCCCAGCTCCCTCAGCCTTTCCTGGCCCAGCTCTGCTGGTTGGTGCCGCCTCTTTCCTGCCCCTCCTCAGAGAAAGCCATCCGGATGTGTAAAGCAGGAAGGGAATCAATCAGTGAGCATCTTCACTGGGACAGGCTTTGTCTCTTAAGTGATCCCGGAGTTCTAGACCAGAGTTTTGGATTCTGGCCATGTGCGTTTGGGAAGTATGTACCTTTGTTACACAATCCTACTTTACTTGTATGTCCATTCCTTACTGTGCTGAATAAAGCCTTACCCCTACATTTTCTGTCATCCCTGAAAACTCAGCCAGGGCTGCAGGAGGAGATGTCACATCACTTCCTTCTCTCGAATAGACATTAACTTAATGAGATCTGCTTTGGAGGGAGCATTGCTTGCTGGTGCTGATTGCTGCTCGTGACATTATCTCCTGACGAGAGATCCACCCCTCCTGCAGGCAGCCTGTATGTAGTTCACTGATCTAGCACTGTGTTTACAGCAGATGTTTGAGGTTGGGGTGAGCAAGATGCTGCAGAAGGCAGTGCTGCAGGGGAGCCCAGCTGGGCCAGGCAGGCATAACTGTACTTACAGACTCCTGTGGAGCAGGCTCCACCCGTGTGCTGTATAACCTTTCTGTGAGAGCTTGAGGAAGGGATCTGTCATTGACAGCCCCTGGATGACACCGGGCACTGGCTGAAAGGCTCCTGCAGTGGCCTGGGTCCCTTCTCTGTCAGTGCCCAGTGTGGCTTGGGATGAGCTGCTTGGTGGTGCTTTCCTGGAGACACCTGCTGCTTCCATACTGTGGTGGCTGGGAGGGAGGGGAAGTGTGCCCTTGCACTCATCCTGGTGTGAACATGGGGCTTGGGGATGGCTCAGGAAGTGGCAACAGGGGTCATGCTCAGCTGCAGAGAGCAGCCTGTGTCAACACTGCCCCTCCAGAAAAGCTGCTGCAGCCAGGCTGCTGCTTCCATGTCCTTGCCGTGGCAGAGCCAGCTGTGGCATGGCTCTCTGTGTCCCTGTCCCTGGAGGGAGTGCTGCCCCAGCTGGCATGGCTGTCTCACTTTGAGACCAGCACTGCCAGACAGTCATGGCATGGATAACTTACCTGGCAGAACTCTGAGAGAGCTGGGAGATAGCATGGGTTGAAACTCCTTTGCCTGGACTTTTGGAACTACCACTGCCCTGGCACATCCCCAGAGCCATGGGTGATGGGAGGTGAGGGGTGACAGCAAGGTGCTGGCATCCTGTTTCACTCAGGGTTGTTTGATGGAGAGTGGCAACTCGCTCCACCCTTGTCCCAGCAGTTTTAAGGCTTCACTTGAAATGTCCTGACCATAGCTGGAGGCAGAACAAAGCCCTGAGCCAAGCACTCTGCCAGGAGCCTCAGGAAATCTCCCCCCATCAGCATTTTTCTCTCTGGCAGGCACTTACTCCCACTTGCGCTTCCCGAGCGTGCTTGGATGGAACAGACAAACAGGAAGGGTGGATGTGGATAAGGGTTGTTTATTCATTGAGCAACTCCTTAAAAAACAGAAAACCCAAACATTTTTGGTAACAAATGTTAAATCTTTTCCAGATGAGGTGTGTAGCCATGAAAAGAGAGTGAGTTACACCTCTCACCCAGGACAGGACGCGGTGCTGGGGACCAAAGAGCCTCTCCACGCCCGTCCATGCTGTGGGGAGCAGCCCTTCTCTATCCTGCCATCCTCCCAGCCTCAGCCACAAGCTACACCAACCCAAGACACAGTATTTACAGACCACAGGTTCCCACATCACGACACTCCCCATGCCCAACACATGGACTTGGAGCTTTAAAGGGCAGAAATAAAACCACCAACCATCCAACCCAGACCAAAAGAAGACTCCAAAGAAACAACAAGGTTTGCACAGCAATAAAAAGATAGCCCTTCTAAAGGAGGTCAATAAATAGGAGAACTAGAAAAAAATCAATTGCTTTTTGAGTTCAGCACATAAAGCCCAGCACCCCCCCTGGGTGAGGGCTTTCACCCAGTGGGTGAAAGGGGAGCAAGGGTGATGGGAATGCACAGAGGAATGTGACTCTCCCCATGTTGGCATGGGCTTCTCTGCCCTGGGACTTCTTAGATCCACAAAGCTGCCCCTCGAGGGACAGATGCTACTGGCCAAAACTGGTCCTGGGGTTGCCCACCAGCAGATAAACCAGGGACACGGCAGGAGGGATGGCTGCAGGTAGAGGAGTGAGGAATGCTGGAGTGGGGGAAACTCGGGAGCTTAGCTCTGCCTGGCCACTCACCGCAGCTGACCCCCCTGGAAGGAAAACCAGTTTCTCCTGAGACATCTCAATTCTACAGCGAGTGTTTAAATAGCTTGAAGAAGTGCAAATATCGGCTCAGGGGTGGCAGGGTGTCCCCAGGAGCACCCCAGTCTTCACAGGGCAAGAGGGATCCTGCACCATCAGCCTGGCACAGCTGCATCCTCTGGTGCTGCTCCATGCCCGTGGCAGGGTGATGCTCTAGCCTTCCTGCCTCGCAGAAAACACTCCAAATTTCTTGACACCCCCCACCTCTCTTCCCCTCCCAGCTGGATCCCCAAGAGTCAGAAACCTCTATCTGCCCGAGGGCTCTTCAACAGCCACCACATTTGCATTCATGTGAGAAGAAAATATCTCTTACAATATGGATATTCAATATATATTTGAAGTCATTTGAGGCTGAGCCAGCCGTTGCCTCCACTAATGCCAGGCCAGGGCACGAGCCAGCGCCTGCTCCTTAAGGTCTTGGCACGGAGGTACCCCAACTTGGTCTCCTGGGGACTCGGAGGGGCAGCTGCCTGTGCCCTTGCTGCCCCTTGGGGAAGAAAAAGGGGACCTCTGCCACAGTCCCCCCCTCACTGGCTCATGGGGACGATGTAGTCTCCCTGCCTTCAGGCTTGTCACTTTTGGAGGACTTTGGCTTCAGCAAGATGAACCTGTTGAGGAGGTCAGTGTCCGAGCTGGCCTGGGCACCTGCGTATGCCTCTCCTGGGGACAAAGCAGAAGGTGGGCTCACTTGGTGAGGAGAGCCCTGGGGTTGGAGGAGCAGCAACTCCTTGGGGTGGGGTGGATAGGGACACTCACCAGCATAGCTGGAGGACTCGGCCATGTTCTGGGAGCCAGTGATGTGGTGCCAGTAGGCGCTGCGGGGCAGCATGGTGGTGGGGGTGCAGGGGTAGGAGAAGTGCTCAGTGCCCTTGTTCAGCAGCTGTGGTGGATGAGAGGGGGGAGGCAGATGACACAGGGCACCCCAAGCCTCCCCCAGCTGTGTCCCCACCCAGGGTGGGCTGGAGCTCACCCTGACATTCTTCTCCATCTCCAGCAGGACCCTCTTGTGCTGCTCAGCGATGGCCAACGTGGCACTGTGCACACGCTGGTAGATCTGCTCTCCCTCCTGTGTCTGGAAGGTGTAGAGACCTTCTCCTGCATCACACATCCTGTGGGGACAAGGCATGGGATGTCACTGGGTCCTCAAGCTAAGGGATGATCAACAACCCCCTCCAGATGGCAGCTGGCCTATCTTCCCACGCTGTTAGAGCAGCCTCTATGTTCTCTCCATGGTGTTGAGCTAGGACCAGAACCAGCTCAAACTCTCCTTGCCACAGGGCACCCTATGTGGCCATCACCCTCAGCCTCAGGCTTGCCCTCTGGTGATGGCAGCAGTGCCACCTTCTGAAGCACTGAGCTAGATGAAGGCACCCAGCAGTGACCCCTGTCCCGGCAGGGGTGACATCTCACCGTCCAGCCTCGAAGGTGAAGCGCGTGGCATCGCGGCCGTAGCGGCGCAGGGAGCAGAGGGGCCAGGAGACCAGCTTCACCCGGGGGTTGTGCGTATCCCAGAGGTAGATGTTTTCGTGGGTGATCTGCAGCTTGCACTCGCCGTAAACGTCCAGGTTGGGGCAGGGGAGAAGGAACACGTTGAACCGGTCTGGAGAGGGGAAAAAACCCAGAGGATAAAAT